AGCGAGCAATAGTACAAATTGAAAAAGAGACATCTGGAGAAATGGAAATAAAGAAAGGAGTCATGCAAGGCTGCATACTATCACCTCTATTATATAACGCTTTTTCTGAAGAGGTAATTCGAGAAACTCTGGAAGATGAAACAGTCAGCATAAGAGTCAAATGGAGTCTTAGTTAACAACATCAGATATGTAGATGATACGGTAATAATAGCCGATAGCTTACAAGACCCGGAAAGACTCATAAGTAAAATAGTAATGTGTAGTAGGGAGTACGGACTCTCGCTCAATATCAAAAAGACAAGATTTATGAAAATTTGTAAAAACATCCATAATACTAACGAAATCTTGATAGTACAGGGCCAGTAGATCGAAAGAGTAAAAAATTATACTTACTAGAACACTTATAACAGAAAATAATGACTACACTGCAGAAATCAAAGTCACAATCGAAAAAGCACGTTCTAATTTTATGAAAATGAAAAATATTTGGATTCAGAGGTGGACTGGGAACACGGGAAGCTTTGTTTGGTCTGAGTGTTTTAATGCAAAGATGTTTGGATGTAAACCAAGACCTCTATGTAGGTTTCATAGAATTTGAGAAGGCCTTCGATAAAGTCAGACACCAAAAGCTGTATGAAATCCTAAGAAGCAAAAACATCGACAGTCGCGACATTAACATCATATCCAGGTTGTACTGGGGACAAACAGCAAAAATCAAGGTTGATAATGAGTTAACCGAAGAAATTGAGATTCGTCGAGGTGTGCATCAGGGTTGTGTGCTTTCTCCACTATTATTTAATATATATATAGCAAAACAATATGTCAGGAAGCGCTCCTAGAGCAAACATTGGTATGAACATTAACGGAGAGTTAATTAAAAATATACGATACGCTGATGACACGCTAATAGTAACAGATAACCTAGCAAAATTACAGTGTTTGATGGAAAACATAAACACCCATACCAATAAGGGAGTGGTATGGGTGCAGTTCAATACAGTTGTTCAGAGCTACAGCAAACAAAGTAAAGATGGCTGCGATGGTAGCCAACCTCCGATAGGAGACGGGACTGCAAGAAGAAGAAAAGATCATATGTGGCAAAGATTTAACATTAGCTCTTAAAGTACGCCTAACAAAATGTTACGTATATAGTGTACTATATGATCGTATGGAATCATGGTCGTTAAATCTAGACACAATAAGACGACTTAACGCCTTTGAAATGTGGACCTATAGAAGAATTATGACGGTTTCCTGGGTAGATATGGTTACGAACAATGAAGTACTGAGAAGAATAGGTAAAGAGAAGGAAGTCGAACTTACAATTAAAGAAAGAAAGCTACAGTATGTCTGACATGTGATGCGGGGCGAGAAGTATGGCATCCTGCGACTCATAATGCAAGGAAAGATAGATGGCAGAAGAAGTATCGGAAGAAGACGAATTTCATGGCTTACGAACCTGAGAGAATGGTTTGGATACAGCAACAACTATTTAGAGCTACTGCCTCAAAAATTAAAATAGCTATGATGATTGCCAACCTCCGTAGCGGAGATGGCACCTGAAGAAGAAGTCAATAAACTCACAACTGTTTTGGTGCCAACGCCTATATCTCAAGTGAAATATTGGATGAGAAACTTCTCTCTCGTGAGTATTTGACTTAAGTTCGCGCATGATAATATATTTTAATCGACTGTGAACTGAATAACTAATTGGTTGTTTTTTAATCTTCCAACAGATATAATCAATAAGCTCAGAAAACTTTCCTCCTTTCCTATAACATGTTAATTAACACGGAAACAACTAATTAAAAACAGTTTTTGTTAGAAATCACAAACTGCAGTTTTTGTATTATTCTTAAGTATCAGTCCAATCAATTCATTATTTAAAATGTTTTTATTTATTGAATATACACCGTTTTGATCTTTCAAATTAGAAAAACGTTTTTCAATTGTAAACATGTAAAAGAATCTCTTATTATGCTTTTTCTAATTTAAACCAGAAACATAAAACAAATTGTGCTTTTGTGAATGAAGGAAATTACTTGATAAAACATTAACCTTGAACATGAGCATCCGCAAATTTCAAAACGAAATGAACACAAATTCAAAACAGAAGAAAAATAGGGTAAGAAATCATTAATAAGATTCTTTGTTATTACACAGTTTAAAGAGGTATTATGCTGTCTACAGTCTGACGCTGCTCCTCTTCTTACTGGTCTACTGCCGTTGGGAAAGACTTAATTAAAATTGGGAGTAGCGAGGTTTTTAAAGACCTCCGCGAGGTGCCTCATTTGCATTCTAAGTAGATCGCAACTTGTTAAAAGTTGAACTTCACTTTCAGTTCAAGGATAAAAATCAAGAAAACTCCACACTTTTCGAACTGTTAAATTTTATGTGTAATAATTTTGAATTTTCCTTATAAATGTATTTCAGCGTATTCAAATGTTTTGCAATATCTAAACAATGTGTTTCAAAGTTTATTTTGAACTAAAACATGCTCTATATGTTGACCTAAGCGATTAACATAAGTTTTTACCATATCGTTGTTACAATTGGATAAATAAACAAAGCATAAAAATTTATCTTTTGTGTAAACTAATGTATTTTTGCTACACTGTCAGATATCTTGGACCACCTGTTATTACAAAATATCCAAATATAGTATTAGTTTTCCATGAATCTTTCTTTATGTCATCATTGTTGACATAGGCTATATTCCATATTACGTACAGATTATTCCTTTTCTCGATCCCTTTCATATGTTTTGATTATTTATCCAGACAATATTGCTGCTTCGTGTCATGACTACCTTTATACTCTTTAATTATGTTTTATATATTTGAAGCCAATCTCTTCACTTCATTTGATTCATCCTGTTGGTATTCTTTTACCTTTATTGTATACAATAATATGTTTTTCCAATTCTTTATGTTTTTTACTTGACTCCCATTGTTTTCTGGGACGACTAAGGCATTATTGAGTGGCTATCAATCATTTATATAAATCCTATCGTTCCAAATGTTGCCCATTATAGTTTAATGTGTTATTTCTGCATTTGGTTTTTCTTTAATCTTTGACGAAAGATTTATTCAATTGATCATTACTTAATTCGTTGAACAGGTATTTTCATTAGTAGCAAATTTTACTTCAAGAGTTCGAGCCTTGGCCAGATTTAAATCACTGTTCCAAGTGGTATTAGTGATTTTATAACTTTTAACACTTTTCAATCAAAAACAGTTTCTTTTATAGGCCCAAATTTTTATTCTGACCTTTTTAAATAATAAAATTACAAAGTCTTTAACTGCCTAGCTCATTGTTTACGACAAATAAAAACTACATATATGTTAAAACCGACAAAAGCCATACAGGATAGTCGGCTAATTAGACTTCGGTTCCAATTTTCATTATCAATTTTATAACCATATAATTATTTATATTAAATCACTTAATGCCTCCTACTCGTGTTTTTATTGACCATGGTAATTGTGGTACAACCGCCGAATTTCATTGAATTGAAAAAGTTATCAAATATTTTTCTGGAACTGAAACCAATAAAATTGTAAAAATTGTTCTTATCTGCAAAATGTGTCGCGCAATTGGTTTTAAACAGTAAATTTAAACAATCAAATCGTTATTGATTTTACAGCATTGTTATTGAAATATTGGTCGTTACAGGACAGATCAGCCGTGTTGCAATAATTAAATATAGTAATAAAATCAAACAATTAAAACAGTTTTCTAGACATCTTATTAAAAACTTAATTTGTTTGCCTGTAGAAACTAAATATACCAATTATTTAGTATATAGATAATTATTCAACAATTCTAATTTCAACAAAAATGTTTGTGTTTCGCCTCTAGTTCTAGAGTGTTATTGTTCACTGGACAATTCCAGACTAATAAAAAGGTAAAAGTAGGAAATAGAGCTAAGTAAGAAAACAAAGACAAATTAAAAACCTAATATGATTCTAAAACTATAAAGAGATCAAGGAAGACAATTCAATTATTAATATTATATCTGTATCAATACATTTGTAAAATCTCGTGAATGATATTGTCATCTTTCGGTACCAAAACAAGTACTTGATTTGATTATAGAATTTGTGATTTTAAGAAAAATCTTCGGGTTTATTTTTTTAATCAACAATTCAATAAAATAAATGCTTTATTTTACAAAGGAATAACTGATGTCAGAACAATACCACATATGTTGGACATAAGGAAATAAGAAACAAGCCTATAAAATTTGGAAAAAAGGTATATTTCGCAAAGGAGGATACAATGCAAACCACTAGTAAGTCAGTGTTATCTTCTTTCTTGTATTCTATTTGCTGAAAATCTATCTTCCCTTATTAACAAAACTTGTATATAAATATTTTGAAAAAACTTCCCAGTGTATGTAATAAAAAAGTCATTTTAATTTTTAAGACACAGGACGATGCCAAAAAGTACATAGTGTGCTAAAACTTTAGAAGAATTTGGTTTACTAGCAGAAAAAATCCGCAAAAACGAGTACACCTAAAAATAAACAATGATCTTGACAATTTACAAATTATGGAGTACATACAGTTAAAATTAAACATAATTGCTGATTATTACACACCTGATACTGTAGAAGATATTATCTCAATACGTGAACTAGCAGGAATGATTTTTTGAGAGTTACTGCAGAATATTAACGTTTTAAATATATTCTAAAAATAGTAGGAATCGTATCAATAAAAACATGAATGATAACAATAATAATAATAAGCCTAATTTATAATAATATTCAATAATTATCATAGCAGGATTGGTACTATAAACTATATACTGATGTGAATGTATGATTGACTGATATAGCAGGTATTTTACTACTTTTAAACACAGATACAAATGAACAAGAGAAATAGTCAGCAGGAATAATTATTATTATCATTGTTACGTTTATACATTTTGATACTTATTGAGAAAAGTTATCTTCAATCAGAAAACATATTTTTAAGTTTGTTCTTTCTTACCTTGTGCGATTCTGACCGCTGGCATTTTAATTCTCATTTTGAAAATTCTTAGACTGGCCGTCTATCGCGCACTAAAATAATTTGTCTATCATTTCCAAAATAAAAAATAATAGTTTCACTAAATCATCGTCACTGTGTCAAGCACTTGGAAAAGAAAACACCAAACAAAATTAACAGAGTACAATCCCAACATAAAATATAAACTAATACCAAAAAGCAATAAAAAGCGCGTGTATATTTAAGCCGGCAGGTTGAGGGGTCAGAGGGTTTCGTTTCGTTAGTTAAAAGATCAAGTTGTCCCTGGACCCTGATGCTGTGCGGTCAGCACACCGGTCCAAACGCGTGTGTTTCTACGGCCAGCGCGATTCAGGCGATTCTCGGCCGTGTCCCGATCGGGCTCTATCGTGTCGTATCGCTGCGCTTCGTGGCTACTCACTAGCGGCTAGCCAGCGGTCCTAAAGCACCCTACGTAGGTAGGGGATGATGCGCACCACGCAGCGTATAACACAGCAGGAGTGGAGGGAGTTGTGTGCCCGCTGGCCTCCAGGATGTGATATATTCCGGTCTACTCCGGTGTAAGATGTATGTGTGTTTACGATGTTACAGTTTACACTTGTCTTTATACTTTGCTTATATATTAATACTCTAGGTTGGAAATAGAAAAGATAAAGATAATATAAACTTACTTTATATGCAGCAGGAAACATTTTCTTCAAACTGATATATAATATATCCATTTATTTTCTCCAATTTTAAATAACTTTTTTATTAAATTTAATAGAACATTTCATATTAGAAATTTTAATAATATAACATTTTAAAGTTGTCAAGATTTTTCCAAAATTTCAAAAATTCAGGAATTGTGTTTTATGGTATAGACATAGACATATCAATATCTATTCTTATAGGTTTAATTTATTATTTATCTAATAATCTCCCATTTCTCAAACATATCTGACATCTTTGTAAACCCTTATTATATAGAGGATAACTTTTTTGCAGGAAAAACAAAGTATATAACTCCTTATTTTACCATTTACTTAGAAACTCTACAAAGTGTAGAATGGGGTGTAAACTTACAATCACTTAGAATAATTACCGTAGTATAAAAGAAAACTACTGGATGCATTATATTATATTTTAAGAACGATTTCCGAGAAGTTTATTGTAGTTGTAGTTAGTTTATTCTTATTAAATATTTGAGTGTTTTGAACGATCAGTCAGAAACTACTGTTTTCTATACACTATGTTTAAAGCTGCACATTTTTGAGGCAATTTAAGAAACACTAATGCTGAGTATTTAGGAAAAACAATATTGACTAAAAACCACTTCGTACAGTACAGCCTTAACCTTCTTAATACCAAGACAATTTTAAAACATATTTATGTATTTCATGTGTTTGATTGTCTCTGCTTATTTTGATTTCGTGTACAGATATTTGTAAGCGATTGTTGTAAGGTATTATTATCAATAGTTATATTTCCACTCATTGCGAGATTTGTTATAAGTTTAGTTTTCTCAAAGTTTATTTTTAATGCTGCTCTTTCAGACAGACTTTTAAGCGGATGCATCATAGAAACTGTATCATGTAAGTTATCTGCGATTAATACACCATCATCTGCAAATCTTAGATGATTTAATCTTACTCCATCTATATTGATGCCCATATCTTGCCATTGAGTGCTCTTAAATATTGGCTCTAGAGCTGCCGTGAGCAATTTTGGTGAAATATTGTCTCCTTGTCTAATTCCTCGACCTAAGCTGAATTTTTCTGTGTCTTCGTGTAGTCGTATACTTGATGTAGCGTTCTCGTAGATGTTTTTGATTAGTGTCGTGTACCTGTAATCTATTCGGCTTTGATTTAGGGCTTCCAGTATTGTTTCAAACTTTACAGAATCAAAAGCCTTGTCGTAATCGACAAATGCAAGAACCAGTGGTATTTTGTACTCGATGCACTTTTCTATTAAGATCTTTATGGTATACAAATGGTCATTTGTGCCATATTCTGGCCTGAAGTCTGCCTGTTCTTTGGGCTGATAGAAATCAAGTTTAGGTGTTAGCCTCTTTGTTAAGATTTTCATAAAGAGTTTGTACATATGTGTCAAGAGGCTGATGGATCTATAATTTTCTAATTTAGTAATATCGCCTTTTTTGTGTAACAAGACTATTACTGAATTGTTCCAGTCTTTTTTAATCGTACGCGCATGTAAGCATGTATTAAACAGTTCGCTTACTGATCTTAATAAAATTTCTCCTCCTGCTTTTATTGCCTCGATAACGAGTCCATCATCACCAGGCCACAGTATAAAGAGGTTCCACCTCTTTATACTGTGACCAGGCGATCGATGGTTTTTCATTTTCTTTAAAGCTGCTCTTACTTCTGATACAGTAATGGGTAAAAGTATTTCTTCTTCTTCTTCAGATGCAAATCCACTAATGGATGTTAGCGATCACATTTTCCATTAATTCTCTATTTCTTGCTATATGTATCAGAGATTGTATGTCGTTAATCCCTGTCCATTGCCTTTCGGAGCCAGGACATTTTCTTGCGTCCCATTCCTCTCTTGCGATCTAGCGAAAAGTATTTCCGATCCCTGGTTTATGAGAGTCTTTACTCGTGTCGGGAAATTGTCTTGTGGTCTTTGGCTGGCATAGAGGTCTTTATAAAACTCTCTGGTTATTTTCAGAATGTTTTGTTTATCTGTTGTTGCCTTTGCTTTCTGTCTTTATCTCTCAGCTTGTATATTTCTTTATTACTTTGTGTGAGTTTTCTTTTCATCATCTTTAAACCTTTGTTCTCTTCTACTGTTTGAGTAATTACATTAGTATTATATCTTCTTACATCTTTTTTAATTTCCGCTGAAATTCTTTTATTTAGTTTTTTTATATTCTGCTTTGTTTCCCTTTTTGTTCTCGCTTAGGTTTCGTCGTATTTCCATGAGAGCATTTGTATTTTTGCTAATCTTTTCACATGTTTGGCGAAACATGGTTAGGACATGATTTCTCTCCACAGGAGTTGAGAGAGAATCAAGGCTCGCGTAGGGCAGGATCGCATCCCTGAAGTAAGTCTATCCTCCACTGGGATTGTGGAAGGGTACCTACCCGCTACCATAATGTGAACGCAATGTCAATAATGGTCATAAACAACGTATCTGACCGGGAGCACATGAATTGGCTCCTGCTTGCAGGTAATAAGCTCTTTACCGATAAAAGAGTTTGTGTGAATTGACTCAGGAAGAATTTCTTGGAAATTTAGGTAGGTTAATTGGGTTTTTCCACCATTCTTTAAATTCGTGTACCCTTCGCCGCAAACTTATTTTAAATTATTTTACTGATTGTTTTGTGTCTTGCTTGTACTTGATCATATCGTCGTAAAAAATGCAAGCTACTGAAATGTTAACAGAACGGGGAAAACCTATGCTAGAAGCGAAAAGTTTTAAATATAATTTCCACAAGTTGCCATGATATGGCTCTTCTGCCTACTCCCCTTCTGCCCTCTAGTTTCCCTTTAATTATTATTTGTAGCAGATGATATTTGCCATTTCTCATTATGTGGCCTAGGAACGAGGTCTTTCTTTTCTTAACCGTTGTTAAAGTTGAGTTCTAAATTTCTATGTATGATGTTTAATACTGTTCACTTTCTAATGTGTTGTATCTATGATATTCTAAGCATTCTGCAATTGCAATTCGGATGTCTATGCTTAGTTTTCAGTTGTAAATAATTTGCTTCCATTTATTGTACATGTTCTTAGCCTATTCTATTTGTGCTATTATTTCTATATTTGGATCCCACTTATCGTTTATTACTACTCATAAGTATCTGAATTTGCGAACTTATTATAAATGAGTATTATTTAGGTCAACGTGATAATTTTCATCGGTTTTCCTAGTCACAAGTTTTTTGAATATTTATTGTCAGTCCTATTGTTTCACTTGCATTATTAACTCTGTCTACAACTCTATAATTCTGTCTATTTATAGTTTATTTTGTCATTTCGGTCTTCTATTTTTTCTGCTATTAGGGGGTATCCTCTGCATACTTGATATTGTTAATTTATACTGTTCATTTTTAGATTAATTTCGGCGCTGTCTAGTGCTTATTTGAATTTTTTTTCAAGACTAATATAATATTTTATAGAATAATATAATATTCTAACCTCTAACTCATTCTCATATGGACTGTACAATTGACATCAACATTTTGACGTAATTCCCATAAACTGTATATTTTACAATGATATTTAATGTAAATTGTTGTTTCTGTATACCAAACTTTTTCTAAAACTGATATTTGACTGAGAATATGTTATTATTACATATACAAAATAATTCTAAAGTTATCGTTAACGGATAGTAAATATAGATAGGGAGAAAATCTATTCTCTCAGATTCAGATTCAGAAATGGTTATTCCTTTAAGTTACAGTAATTGCTTAAAGTAATAGCTCTCCTATTATAACAGACATTTATCTCCCCATGACTATTGGTCGTCTCGGGGTCTTGTTTGTATCCGACATGACACAGCCTTGTCGGATACCAACTTTTTTATCTAGCCTCATTTTCTGTAGTTGATACAACAATTTTTCATGCTGGACTCTATCAAAAGCCTTCTGGAGGTCGATGAAATAGGGATATACTTTCTTCTGGCGATTAAGACATTTTTGAATGACTGTTTGAACGCAAACAACGCCTCTATTGTTGCCAAGGCCTTTCTAAATCTAAACCGAAGGTCACTTATATCTATTCCTCATTTTTTATAAATTCGCTTCTGTATGATATTTGAGTATTTTTATTTCGTGACTCATTAAGTTAATATAGCTATGAATTCTAGGTTAAGGCACTACTTTGGTATTACGACACTTTTATATAGCGGAAGTTAAAAAGATGTGTTGTAGTTTTATGTTGTTATCATTAAACGATAGTTTGTCTATATGAACTTTAATTATATAAAACAGGTGGCGAAAGATTCAGAAACTGGGCTTGGCAACGAAAGATTTGAAAGAATCAGACATTTCGTGTTACTTAAAATACGTGTTTATTCTTTCCTTTTTGGACTCTGAAGACGTAGGCGAATGTTTTGCGATTGGTATTGGAGCAATCTTACCCAGACATCCAGTAGTTTAAAAATTTGCAGATTTCTTGGTGGAGAACTACATTGCTGAAGACGCCAAATTTCCACCTACCATGTGGACTGAAACTAGTACGTCTCTACAAAGAATAACGAATGTAT